TTAATCACTCACTCTTAAGAACCTCGGTCGTTCTACTCTTGTTATCATAAATCTACAATCCTATAGAGAAGCCTATCCCCGATTCTTTACCCTCAAAAGAAACACAACTTTTGGGTGGATTTACAACCCAATTTACACAAGAAAATAGTTAGAGATTAAAAACCTTAGCAGAGAGTGTTTGATCGTGAAATTACAAAGGGATTTCACTATGCAAAATGGTTGATCTGCTGCTTTTATATGTTGACCACTAGAGAAGATTTCAGCCATTAGATTTGACAGAGATCAAGGGCCAAGACTGAAGAGAGACAACTTGAAACAGCAATGCATTACTAAAGCCCAATACGACACAGTTTTGACGGCTTCACATATTAACATGGTCATTGAAAAGATTTTCTTAAGAAACAAACATCACTAATTTTTTGGGTCAAAAACAACTTTTTTGTGCTTCTAGATGTTTCAAGGAGCTTTTTGAGAAAATAATTGTAAAATATTAAAATACTTTACTTCTGTTTGTGTAAATGTAGTAAGTGTTTTACCATGTTCTGTTTGGAAAAATAAACACTCCTAAGAATATCCAGAAGCAACTATCAAACACATGTTTTACCAATTCAACATGACTTCTAGTAAAAAAGATCCACAGTACAGATAATCTGGAAATTTGGGGAAAAGTTAGCGACTTTTTCCCACTATCCCACCCTAAGACTTTTAAAATACCTTTTTACTACCTAAATGTTATGTTTTCCTCTGGTTTTGGTAGGAAATACAGTGATTTACGGAAAAAAAAAAAAAAAAAAAAAAAACCCGCTTTTTTCTTCTCTTCTTAGCCTCTTCCATTGTCTGCAATTGCCGCTGGCGTTGGGGAGTACTGGCGACCAAAAAATCAACCAACTAATCACCAATACTACAAAAAAACATTCCTCCATCCTCTTTCAACTCAACAAACTCAAAAACCAAACTAATCAAACCTAATTAATTGATCAAAACTCAAAAAACCCTAAGGTGGGAAAGCTTCGATCGCCGACGATTTGTGAGCAAACAGGATCGGGAATGTTAGGGTTTTTGGAAAGGGAGATCCAAGGAGTCAATTGGTGGTGGCAAGGACGATTTCTGACACCGAAAAAAACAAGAAATCAGCTTGGAAATTGAAAGGTCGTGCAGTGCACGACCGGCGACCTACAAGCAAGGAATAGTAGGGGAGGTAAGGGTTTTATAGAGTGGGTTATGGGCAGTGTGATGGTGGTGTCTAGGGGAATTTCTGGCAAAGAAATCAACTGGAAATCCGGCTTGAAGAGTTAGCCATGCGAATGGAGGTGGTGGTGGGAAATGGTGAGTGATGACGGCAAATGGAGGCTTGGGCTTCGTAGATGAGGTGATGGGGATTTTGTGGGTGGTCTCAAAAGTGATTTTGAACGTCGGGATCAACCAAAAAATAGCAAAAACTGTTGGTTGTGACGCTACTAACATGCGTCATCCCTTTTCTTTTCTTCTTCTCGGGTAGCCAAATGTTTGCTGACCATTCTGCCCTCACTAATAACAGACTTTTGACGATTTTGCCCTTCCTCACAATGAAAATTACTAAAAAAATTGTGCTTTGGGTACTAAAAGAATATTTAAAAAGTGGGCGGATATGAATTTGTCAAGGAGCCATTATTTGGGTGGGAACATGTCGTTAACTCTTTGGGGGCGTTTGGTTGGGATTTATATGGGATTACTAGGGTAATGTCATCTTATATTACTTGATTACCATGTTTGGTTGTCAAGTAATATAAGATACCGGTAATCTTCAAATACCAATAGTGGTTACTATTGGTAATATTGGAGGTAATCTGATTATCTCCATTTTCTTAAGTATTCTGAGATTACCAGGGTTATCTTTTTTTGTTACAATTTTATCCCTTATTACTAAAAATTTTGGACAATAATACCTCTATTTTAAAACAAATTTACATTAATATCCTATTTCAATTTTACTCTTGATTAATTAAAATTTTGGACAATAATGCCCTTATATTTAAAATAATTTACAGACCATCACTACTACCCAGCCACCACCACCACCACCACCACTGCCACCCAGCCACCACCGCCGACAGCGGGCCAACCACCATGGGCCGCCGTTTGAAAATCACCGGAGTCCCTAAAAAAGAACAAGACTCGGTGGGAGGCTTCGATATGGCCATTTGCGACCATATTGATGGCCAAAAACGGCCAGATCTTGTCCAGATCTGGCCGATAATGGCCAGGGATTTGGCCGTTAGCGGCCAGATTTGGCCTGATATGGCCGTTTTCGGCTATCAATATGGCCGATATGGCCAAAAACGGCCATAGCGAAGCCTCTTGGTCACGGTCAGCTGCTGATGGGGACTTTCGGAGACTTCCGGCGGTGGTCTGCGATGGCGGCAGGTGGTGGGGGTGATTTCGTAATAAATTAAAGTTTTATATAAGCGGGGTTGTTTTAACTAAATCTGAAATATTGGGGGTTAAATAGAATTATTCAAAAATTAATAATAAAAATAATATTATATTAAAAATTAATTTAAATAATCTTACAACTTAATAAGACAACGGCGGCAGAGTCGCACAGAAATCATATTAAGAAGTGAGATTAACACTTAACTAGGTAACGGCGGCAGTGCCGCACTGGAACCAGATTAAGTGATGAACAAAAATTTAAAGAAACAAAGAACACAAATAAAAACTTAAATAAACATTAAATAAAACTTAAATAAACATTAAAATCAAACATGATGAATGATTATTAAAAGAACTAGAACTTGAAAGATTAAAAGAGAATAATCAAAGAACTTGGAAGATTAAACATTGAATGATTATTGAAAGAAATTTAACTTACAATGAAAGCTTTCTTTTTGGAGAGCTTTTGGGAAGTTTACATCAAAAGAAAGTGAAAGAGAAAGTTTAGAATTGGCTTGGCAAAAGCTTGGTTCANGATGGAGAGTAAAAAAAATCCCTCTCATACCAATGGTATCAGAAAAGGACTAACAAATTGGTCTGCTCCAAGATCTAGTAGATCATCACCCAGTAAATCAGTTAGGGACTCGATTGCAGAAACAAAACATTCCACTGCCGACAATTTGAGGCAGTCATGCATGATGCCGCCACCTTCCCGAGTTTTGGATAAGACTTGCAACGGTCAACAGAAAATACAAACAATAATGCCGGCTGATTGGGACAGGGGGAGGGACAGGGTGGATTGATGAATACTGTTTTGGTACATTTGTGTGATACGGGACAGGTTATCAGCAACAATGGTTGGTTTGTACATATTGGACTGTAGGTGAAATGAAATAGTAGTATTTTTTTAAGGGATTTTGCTGGAGGTGAAAGGAGATTTGTTGTAAGGGTTCTCCTTAGACAGACAGACAGGGTTCCAATGTTGTAACATTAAATGAGAGTTGTAGAAATACAGTAGAAAATTCTTTGCCTTGTGTAAAGCATTTGATGAGGCAATAGAAAATTTCACGCAATCAGTCTTTTATCTTTCTCCGTGTATTAATGCAATTGCATGTCCTGATGAGTTTGTCCGGAAATTTCTTGTATCCATAAATGTACTTTATGGAACAGAGTACGTCAACACGACCTTTATTTTTAGGAAAAATTGCAGGTTGCTTATGCCGAAATAGAAAATTATGACGTGATGGTAAAAGGGAAATGAGATTCTATAAGCTTTAATTTTGAGTCTCTCTAGGTAAAATAGCCAAATGAGATTCTATAAGCTTTTGATTTTGAGTCTCTTTAGGCATTAATAAAGATGATTATTTGAGTTTTTATCCGATCAGTAGTTTTAGAATCTTAAAAGATTAATTGAGATGTACACAAACTAGTTTGGACACCTGTGGTTAGGGGTGATCGGGTCTAGGTACCCTAAGATTTTTAGAAGAACCGAAATCAGAACTAGTTGATTCCTAAAATTAGGAACCGTAACCAAAACCAATCGGTTCTAGTTCCTCAATTGTCTGAACCAGAACCTATGAAATAGGTTTCAGTTTTGGTTTCGGTTCCGAGGACCCTGCATAATTATCATTGGTCCCTATAACTATACAAAATGACAAAAAAAGCCTATAAAATTTCAAATAGACCCCCATTTGTTTAAATATTCTATAACAATATAATTTTTTCCTTATTAATTAATTTCAATATTTCAAATAATTTTAATATATAGTGTAAGACTATATATTACAATTATTCATATCCAAAATCCAAAATGTTCAATATATAGTCTATGACAAATTAAAATTGATTTACGGATTTCATTGTTAGGTTTAGTTTAGAGGCAAAGTTTGTTAAAACCCCCCAATGTCGTATAATAGTTTGTATAAACCTCGGTTCTTTTCCCAATTCCTTGCAAGGTACCCTGTTAGGCTGTTACTGGTTCCTAGTAGGATACCCTATTACAGGTTCCGGTTCTAGTTTCCGATTCTTGGAATGAAGGAATCAGAACCGGGGGGGGGGGGGGGGGGGGGGGGGTTGTCCCAGTTCCTATTTTTTAGAATCGGAACCTACCTTGTGAGGGTCGGTTTAGGTTCCTACCCGAAACCGGGACGCTGGGTGCCCGCTAGTTCCAGGTAGAACCTATTTTCATGCTCACTCCTACCCGTGGTGATAAGAAAAAAAAATAGAAACTTTTTATCTCCTTTCAATATCTCCAAATAAGAAGGGGGTGACCAGTTTAGATAGAAATTAAAAAAATTGTGTCATATTCTTTTTCTAGTTCTGGTGCTATATGATTATTTAATAATTTATTATGAATAAGCTGGCAGTCATCTGGGGATGTAGCTCAGATGGTAGAGCGCTCGCTTAGCATGCGAGAGGTACGGGGATCGATACCCCGCATCTCCATTTTTATTTTTCAGTTTTCAATTATCATCATCCTCCTTTTAGCAAATTTTAATGAAGTATTATTTGATCAATACTGAGAAACACCAAGAAGTTAAACGAAATCTGCACCAATAATATCAACTCTTTTTCTCAAAGCAACTACATCTTCCAGTTCATATTACTTGTCTGATTAATTCATAACAACAGTATCCTTTGCGTTAGCTTCAATTAATTATCATTGCAGATATTTTCATTATCACAAAAATATATTAATTTACAACAAACAAAGAAACTGCTAAAAATCTAAGAAAACATTTGATCCAATAACAAGACCAAAGCCATTGCAAATCCAGGATCAAAACCAGGCTGTACCGTCAAAACAAACACCTCAACTCCAAAAGAAATTCCTACAATTGTTGCTTCCTTCCTCTTGATTTCAGCCACCACTCTTCTTGATTCATCTACCACTTTGCATGATCTATGTGCATACGAACCTTCAACTGCATACGCATATCTTTTATTTGAAGCTTCTCGATACACGTGCGCTAGTACATTTCGCTTCGCTTGAAGAATGCTCATCTGCTTCTTTACACTACAAATTGGTCTCTTCGATAACTTATCTCTTCCGCACTCTTCATCTACATCTCCTTCATAAACCAGCCAGCTATCAACTGTCGTAAGCTTCTGCAAAATCAAACACTAACCCACTTAGAAAATATTGATTAAAATTCTAAATCAGATATATGCATATACATCTATTCATGTTCTTATATTATATTACCTTACGACGTCGCAATGTGAGAAGAGATTTCCCAGAGCCGTCCATGAGAACAACTTCTTCAGGACGTCCCATGTAATTATCGACTCGATAAGCAAGATTTCCATTTTTGTCAATTACTGTAAATCCATTACAGCTTGCTATAAGCGATTTTCTCCACACTGTTAACGATGTGCAGTGACCATCCAGCTCAATATTATTCTTGAACTCTGGTTCTTGCTGTTCTTCATGGACTGATCTTGACAGAGACTTGAAGAAAAGAAACATTTTTATCTCTCCCTTTGAACCTTATATTTTAAGAGGACATGGGGAACATAATTCACATATTTATAGCTATCTTCAAATTATATATAAACCCTTTACCTAACTGGTCATGTCTGGTCTTCTAGAGAACTTTTGATGATGGAGATTAAGTTAATGATGCAGCTTGATTTCTTAATATTATAATTAACAAGTAATTCATGTTGGAAAATGTGACACGTGTATGCTTCCATAATCTGAGGTGTCTAGTCTAAGATTCCAAAATTTCTCTTCTTTTGATTGTGAGATGGGATGGGTTAGGTTAGGTGTGTTTCATTGTTTGAAAAGTGTTGACAAGAAAGAGAAGCACAAAAATTGGGAGAGAGGGGGGGGTGGTGAAATCCAAGAGAGCTTTACTGTTGTTGTTTCCGTCAATATTAGGTGCCAGTTTGGTCCTTTTTTTAACCCCATTAACGCCTTAATTACTTTACAAATATAATTTACTAATTAACACAGTCCTTTTTTTTTTTTTTTTATGTTTGTATATATTGTTTTTGTCATATATTGAATGCCTTTTACAAAAGTCTCTCACTTGTACGATGATTTTGTAGCTACCTTGCTTAGAAGCCTCTTTTTACCACCCCAAATTGGAAATTTTTATGTAAGTTAATGTCCTTATATCATAATAAACACATCTAGAACATTAGATAGACGACGGCTTGACCGGGATGTATAGAGGGATTCATGATTGAAAGCGTTCCCCCGATCTTGAGTTCGAATTGTATTAAGGGGTGATCAATTACCATACCTTACCAAAAAAAAAAAACAAAAAAGGGAAAAAAACAAAAAAAGCACATGTTATATTTGAACTTGTTTTCCACACTGGGATTGAATGATTACCTTGATGTACCTGTTTATTAACGATTAATATAGAGTCGCTTTTGTTAGTTCTCTTCAAACACGTCTCTATTTTTTATTTTTTTTTTGTTTTGTTTTGTTTTAAAGAGATGAGTAAAATGGTCCCAAAGGGCACGTTGAAAACAGCCTATAGAGATAGACTTCCCACAGTTGAAATTGAAGAAGAAAAATTATACATTCATGATCAGACTGACAACCGACAGGTTCTTCTTCGTAATTTGAACCACCAATTAATGGCACAAATTCTAAACCTCAGTACCTAATTAGTTGTTGAATAAACTTGCCATTAATTCTACAGGTTTCAAATAATCTCTCTCAACTCCCCTTTGATAATTCTGACAAAGGACTAGGGTTTTAATATAATGCCCAGGGATAATTTGTACAGTACCATAAATGGAGTTAGTGAATTCATTTACGTAATTCTTATGAAAGAAAACAGTGAAGCAGATGTATGTGTAGTCTTACTATTGGTTCTCTTAACATCAGTCAATTCAACTTGATTATGTTGCTTTGATTATGCAGCAGCCGACCATGACCATTTGTATAATCTTTCTTCTTCATTTAGTTTCCTCTTTTTTCAAACTTATGGTTCCGGGTTCCTTTCATTCCATGTGTATGGTTAATCTGACAATAAAAGTAATTAACTTAGGTGATTATTCATAACCAATCTTACTTAAACACGCCATTTATGTTCTTTAGGTTACCTTCAGTAGTTCTTCTGTTCATCTGAATATTATATTGCTATAGTCCAAAGTGTTCCCCCTTCGGAGTTCACTTTACTGTTGATGAAAGCATTTAAGAAATCGCCAAAATATTGTCCCTAACAGGAGGTAGATTCTTGGAAGATCTTCCAGTATCGAGTCAGTCAAAACACCTAACACCAGACAAAATAAACAAGGAATTAAGTTGTATACGGCTTTGAGTTTGGTAATTCTATCTTCTCCAGATTCCTGAAGCATTGGACACGCGGCCTTCTTCCAAAACATAGAAGATTAAACCAGGTGTAGATATGGCGGGTCCCTTGGAGATATTATTCCTTGCTAATTTTAGAAAAGATTACAGCACTATGAAGAAGATGTCTGTCTGTCAAACCACGTGCACATTTTACTATAAGCGGTGATGGTGATCTGCATCTGCATCATCTTTTTGCTATCTACTTTGATACTTATTCATCAGCATCAGCTTCTTGCTATAATATAATTAAATATGAAGCTTCTTATTTTATAAGTCTTGATGACGGATTCTTGTACTAAATTCTCTTAACTTTGCCCTAACAACCGATTTATTTATTCAATTTGTTGCCTTGTTTAGTAACGCAGAAGATCGTTACGTGAAAGAGTAAACGACTTTTCCTATAAAAATAATGGTTTAACGACACTTTTCTATTTCAGACTATTAAAATATTATTTTATTATTCAAATTTATATTTCGTTTTCAATTCCAGCATTATTATGACCTCACATAACCACCATTCTCTTCTCCTATCATTACTTACTAAAACCCCTCAAACTCTACTCCTACCGACCTTGCCAATTGCGAGCAATCGAGCGATTAGAATTTATGTAGTCACCCCCCCAAGTTAAATTCCGATCAATCTTAATTATCAAAATCCAACCTTCTACCACCGAAAGACTCATCGACCTCACCTCTTCAAAAGCTCCAATAGCTTGGATCAAGTTTACTCTTTGTTTTCTATTGGAATTTAATAAAGTAGTATTTTAAAAGTCCGTAGGTGGAAATTAAAGTGTTATTAAGCCATTATTTGGGTGAGAAAAAGTCGTTATCTCTTACGTTAAAAATTATATCTTTACTACGCCAACAGGATTCCTTTTTTAGGGGTTAATTTGTTGTGTGTGTATATATATATATATATACTGTTGTAAATAAATTCATATGCAAAGAGAAAGTCAGATTAATTCATGGCACAAAGATTCATAAGTGGTTCTTATAATCCAGGTTTGATTTTCAAAATATTTAAACATTATTTTTTTTCTTTCTACCATTCTGTATCATCAGTGGATTGAAAGGGCAGAAAGAATTTTGAGGATCTTTATTTAGATGAACAGCTCAAGATAGAACGAGCCATATGTTAAAAGCAATAAGGTAATTAACTACTTTTATTATAGGTATGAACAAAATATGATATGATACGATATATATAGCACACCATATTCTAGTTAGATATAGCCAAAAGGCCCAAAACATGAAATTAATTTGCGAGTTACTTAAGCGGTGATGGTGATCTGCATCTGCATCATCTTTTTGCTATCTACTTTGAGACTCATTCATCAGCATCAGCATCAGCTTCTTGCTATAATATAATTAAATATGAAGCTTCTTATTTTATAACTCTTGATAACGGACTCTTATACTAAATTCTCTTAACTTTGCCTTAACAACCGATTTATTTATTCAATTTGTTGCCTTGTGTAGTAACGAAGAAGATCGTTACATTGAAGAGTAAACGACTTCCCCCTCCCCCAAATAATAGTTTAATGATACTTTTCTATTTTAGACTATTAAAATATCATTTTATTATCTAAATTTATATTTCATTTTCGATTTTAGCATCATTATGACCTCACATAACCACAATTCTTTTCTCTTATAATCACTCACTAAAACCCTTCAAACCCTACTCCTATCGACCCTGCCAATGTTGGCAATCGAGCGATTAGGGTTTGTGCAGTCACCCCTCCCAAGTTAAATTCCGATCAATTTCAACCATCAAAATTCAACATTCTACCATCAAAAGACTCATCGACCTTCCCTCTTCAAAAGCCCCAACAGCCTGGACTGAATTTGCTCTTTGTTCACCATTGAAATATAAATGTAGGTAATAAAGTGGTATTTTAAAAGTTCATAGGTGGAAAAGTGTCATTAAGCCATTATTTGGGTGGGAAAAAATAGTTAACTCTTACGCTTAAAAATTATGTCTTTCCTACGCCAACAAGATTCATTTTTTAGGGGTTAATTTGATTGTGTAAGTATATATATAGGACAATTTCATATTCTCATTGTAAAATCTACGAGAGTTGGAACTTTGCTGAGAAATGAAGTGATGGAGGTTTGAATTTGCTTCGAAAACTTTGAACTTGAGCTTGAACTCATTGAATTCTTCATGGACAGTTGGGGGTAAGATTTTGGGAATTAATACAAAATGATCCCACCATTGGGAAAACCAATTGGGAAATTTGAATAAAATGTTCCTTTTGAAGTAAATCATCCAGGAGTGCCTATGATGACTATTTTGGAGAAAGAGTGATATGTTCCAGGCCCTTTGATAGTCCCAGTAATTATATCCAGGCAGATCAAAATTTTGGGAAATTTTTTTGAATTGGTTTGGGTTGGATCCCCAATCAGAAGGACTAAGGATTTTCATAATATGAAAGGTTGAATGAGTGATAAATCCTGGTTGGTTTTTATCCTCAGTGTTTAAACTCACAAGAGTCAGAATCAACAAGAAGAAATTCATAAAAAATTTTAGTTTTCCTTAAATCTTCAGGGATAAAATGAAATTTTTTTGGAAAAATTTGTTGAACTAATTGTTTAAAGTTTTCAAAATCATATCCTTCTTCGAAAACAAAAAGATTAGTTGCAATTCCTTTTTGAATATAATTTTGTCCTGGTTTAAGGGCTTTTAATGGTCTAGCCGCAAGAACAAGTTCTTTGTTTTTTGAAAGAGTAATTTGAGTTGCCTTTTGCAATGTGCTTAGTAAAATTTTTTCACATTGGGAAAATTATTGAGAATTTTTTGGAAGAGTTTGAGGTTCTTTAAATTTCAAAATCTCATTTTTCGGTAAATTTGGTGTTAACCCAATCATAGCTAAGGCTGCTTCTGGACTTTGCTAAAAAGAGCTGATCCAATTTTGGATTTGCTCTGTATTTGTTGGGCTCTGAGAAGAGCTTGTTGAGGCTATGCCTTTTCCTTTTTATTGTTGGGCATTTTCTTGGGCTTCTTCTTCACATACGAGTTCATACCATGATTTGATGTTTGTAAGCTTTTAGGCATAAGAAGCCTTTGATTGTTTTTGAGTGATTGGAGGGTTGGTCTTTTTGTGAGGCATGATAGTTATCTCCCTTGAAGGAATTCCCTAGTGAGGAAGTCAGGCAGGGAATTAGCTTCTCCTTTGATGTATTCAA